TTACTTTCCTCTTGTCCCACTATCATGCTCAGCCTTCATTTGGGTTTCAGTAATTCCTCTTGGTTACATTACCCTTGATCATGCCCTACCAGGCCTCCTGCACCCTCCTCACCACCGATTTGGATCACCTGTTTTTCCCTTGTTATTCAATATGTTTTTAAGGTTCATCTACGTTGTACCAAGTTTCAAAACTTCATTTCTCTTTATATCTGAACACTACTCCCTTACACATACACACACACAATGGGTTTAGATATGTACCTATCAAACATTCCACTCAAGATTTAGCTCTTTGAGGACTCTTTCTTTGAGGGGTGAAGGGCACAACTTATGCTCTATATAGGCCCAGTGCCATTTATGTCTGTCCCCATTTTGGTTGATAAAAAACTTTGTTGATCAAACTATGACATATGCCTTAATAACAGCCAAAGGCAAAAGCTTTATTACCAACATGTTTTTTTTGTTTCCACCTCTTTATTTTAACCCGTAGTATTTCCTCTATATTTTAGTGAACTCATTAAATTTAAGTTCCAGCATTTCTCAACTTTTGGGTGTATTTAGTATAAAAAGTTTTTCACAAGCCTATTATGTCTACTATATACACATGTAGACCTATATATATATTTACTAGATGGTTTTTGGGGGTTGACATTTACATTTTCAGGCCTAATAGATGAAAAAAATTTTAAACATAATGAAATATCCTCACAAGGAATGCTATCAGTTAATTCTGTTTTGTTTATCAAGGAAATGGGAAGACACGACGACCTCTGGTCCTTGTTTTACATGTTGGTAGAGTTTGTAGTTGGTCAACTGCCTTGGCGAAAAATAAAGGACAAGGTAATTTTGGAAATTGAGATGTTAATTTGGGGGGAGCAAAGAATAAAGATTTCTGACTAAGCATTTTCATTGAACATTTGCATAAATGTAAGAATTAAAAATTACATTTAACTGTATTCCTACATATTTTTCTATGAGCAGATACTAGCAATATAATTAATTTTATGACTATTCTATGTCAATGGAGAATTTTAAGTAATTACATCTGATTTTATTTTTAATACTCCCTTTTAACATTTATTTTACTAGGGCTCTGGGTTTGGTTTTGGTATTTAGTTCCAAGTCAAGTAAGCTTTCTGCTTTGAATTGCTACATTGTATTGTTTGATTTGAAAGCTGTAGACTAATTTGTGTTTATGGTAAAGAGAAGTAGAACAAACTTAAGATGACCTCTTCCCTTCAGGGGCTGTCAGTACTGATAGAAAATTATTTATTAACCTTTTGGTTCTGCATTAGAGTCTCACCCATCCCTCCCCTTTTACAGCATTGTGTATTAAGTTGTTCTTAAGTCTAAGAGCATGGTTCTTGCTTTATCCTTAATTATCCTTCCCCAGTACACACCCTTGAGAGTATTACTGAAGGGCTCTTAATATATAGATACCTAGAGAAATTAACTTTGGTTCTTTTTCTCTTCTCAGGAACAAGTAGGCTCTATTAAGGAGAGATATGACCATAGGCTCATGTTGAAACATCTCCCTCCAGAATTCAGCATCTTTCTGGACCATATATCATCTTTGGATTATTTTACGAAACCAGACTACCAGGTAATCACCATTGTGAGTTCTGGGGGATAATTTTTCTCTTCTCTTAATCTCTGCCTTCACTCATTGCGGTTTTAAGGGTATTGTAAATGACCATGGAAGGTCCCTAGAAAAATAAAGTTTCAATGTATCCTGAGAAATGTGATGTAATTAACTTATGATGACAGCATTGGTGTGTTTTTCCTCCTTCTGGATTTAAAGTTTTAGATTTGCTCATAATGTAATATATTTCACTGTTCCTGCTGATAGTTCTTATCTATGTAAATTTTATAGCTCATTTGTTAACCAGGGGCAGTGTTGAACTAGGTAACGTATCCATCAGGGCTGCATATCATATGTTCACATGTTGTGGAACATCAGTCATTGAAGATTTGGGCTCCATTTTGTCTGTGGTCAGTGAGTCATCTCCTTAGAGCAGCATTTAAGGGTCGACTAGATGTACCACAGATTGTATTACTGGCCCCAGCCTGCCACATTTCAGAGGATTCTATTGCTCTTAGGGAAAACTTGGTCAGGGCTTAATATAAAATGATCACTATCACCAAAAACACAAATCGAAGCCACATTTCGGTTAATAAGTATACCATCTTGCCTGCAAGGATAAAATACATAGGTTCTACTGCCTGTTAGACCTTAAAGACCTTAAGTGGATTAGCTTGTATTTTTCTTTCCATGTAACTGTTTGCTTTATTAACTATATTAGCTGTCTAATAAGTGGAGAAGAGATATAAAAATAGCTTTGGCATGTGTTCTTATATTTACATTTACATTTATTTTCTGAAACATAATAGAGTTCATATTACTTGAAGTAAAATATGCAATTATTCTCTTATGATTAGACTCAGTGGAGCTGGTAATATGCTACCTTTCCCATCTGGAGTACTAGTAAATGCTTTTATTGACAACATTTGGGTGGAAGTGTAAAAATGTATCACAGTAAAACAATTCTGGTTAAATTTTCCTCTGAGTTGTATCTGTTTCTAAAGGAGACTTGGATTCACCAGCTGAAGTTTGAAATTTAGACCTATAACTAATTGTATTTAAATTAACCAGTTATTCTCAAGGTTTTCATTTGGACATTCTCTTAGCAACTTCTGTGTCTTTACCACCTAATAACAGAACAGTTTATAGTGATTTTTCTATTTTTAGAAGAGAAAGAGCAGGCATGATATTTTCTTTGAGTCCACAAGTAATCTAGTTCTTTTCTGTTTTTTGATCTTTCATAAACAGTGAGGGGAGCAGAGAGTTGGCGGATGAGAGCAGGGTAAATGGGGAAAATATGTTGGTGTAATCGACCTTTTTTTCTCCTGAAGTGTCTTTCCAACACCCTGTACTGAAAGCATTTGTGCCATCTGTCACATACACAAAATATAAAAGTCCCAGATCAGTTTTCAAAGAGCAGTCTGAAAGAGTGAATTTGGAGCTGAGAGATAATAAATCAATAACCATTGCCACAACTTTGTATAAAAAAATCAATTGGCCATATTTATGTGGGTGTTTCTGGACTCCTTATTCTGTTCCATCAATATGATGTATATGTCTGTTTCTTTGCCTGTGCCACATTACAATGCCAATGCTTTGTTGTTAGGTGCCTTGCAGTCAGTTTCAACTCACAGTGACCCAGTGTACAACAGAAGGAAACACCGCCCAGTCCTGAGCCGTCCTCACAATGGTTCTTATGTTTGCACCATTGTTAAAATTGGGTAGTGTGATTACAACAGCTTTATTCTTCATTCCAAAATTGTTTTTCCTATTCTAATTTCTTTGTAGCATTTTAGCTGGGAATCCAATCTCTTTAATAGTTATAGCAATGTTAATGCTGGCTGTTTCATCTTGGGTGAGTATGTAAGCAGTCCCCAAGACTTCCCACATGTGTAGAGACTTGATTGAAGTAATCATGGGACTTAGCATCTAGTAATACTCACCTTTAAGTTTTGTTTTTTTAATCATTTTATTAGGAGCTCATACAACTCTTATCACAATCCATACACACATCGATTGTGTAAAGCGCATTTGTACATTCATTGCCCTCATCATTCTCAAAACATTTCCTCTCCACTTAAACCCCCAGCATTAGGTCCTCAGTGATATACTAGTAAAGATATTCAATCAGATGTTAAGAGAAAACGTTCGGCATAATTTTAAGAAATCCATTCGAAGGCTCCTTTATAATCTACCCTACTCACGAGGCACACACTCTTTCTCTAATCCAAACAGCAACATGTGTAAAATAGTTCTACCCAGGAAATCCAATTAGAGACTTAGTGTCCAAGATTTTTACTGGGTGGAGCTCTACCAGGAAATCGCTCTACTGGTAGCAGAAAGACCTGCAGTTCAAACCCACCTTCCCCTCTGTGGGAGAAAGATGTGGCCATCTGCTTCTATAAAGATGCTCAGCCTTGGAAACACTAGGGGGCAGATTACTGTGCCCTATAGGGTCTCTCATCAGTCAGAGTGGGCTTGACAAAAAAAGCTACCGGTTTTTTGTTTGGGTCACATAAGCACCCACTCTTAGCACATACCAAAATTTTAGATTCTAGGATTGTGCATCATAAGCCACACTGTTTATATGCTATCTACTCAGTAACCCACCTTTTACAGATCAGTTAGCAGATGGTTGGAGCGCTCCATCCGCAGAGTGACGCTGACATCCCCAACTATAACTATAGATTCATCTACTTCTCCTTTCACTCTGTCAATTTTTGCTTCATGTATTTTGAAACTCTGTTTTTAGTTACAAATATCTTTAACTCTGAAATCCACTTTGTTTGCCATTCATAATGTTCTTCCAGTTTAATTTTGGTTAGTTGATTACATGGTTTATATTTTTCTGTTCTTTTACTTTTCTGAACAGTTTTATTGACATGTAATCCATGTACCATACAATTCAATGGTTTGAATATATTTAAAACTACAATTATGCAATGACCACATCAATTTTAAACCATTTACTCATTTTTGTACTCAACTTTTGTTATTAGCTCCCCGTTTTCCCACAGCGTCCCCTGCCATAACACTTTGAAACTGCTAATCCAGTTTGTTCCTATAGATTCACCTGTCATGGGTTTCATATAAAGAAAATCATGCCCCCTCCCCACCCAAACCCCCCCCCAACAATAGTAAAGAAAAACCTTAATCCAAGAGAAAGCAGAAAATAAAAACTATACCAAATTAAAAATGCTAATCCAGTTCATCTCTATAGATTTACCTATCATGGATTTCATATAAAGAAAATCATACCCTCTCCCCGCCAAAAAAACACCCAACAATAGTGACAGAAATACCTCATTCCAAAAGAAAGCAGAAAATCAAACCTATACCAAATTAAAAATGGGTCAAAAAGAAAAATAAGATGTTAAATTTTAATTGAACTACCGGTTCATTTCAACTATCTGCATTAATTCACTTCCTGATGCATTCTCTGTGAGGGCAAAGGGAATTCAATGGAGGCTTAATCCCTGCGGGAACTCTGCAAATTAATTTTGTGTTTTCGTTGTCATCTATAGCTCTGAATTTAAGCTCTTAATACAACTCCCTCTGTTGATCTTGGATTTTATGTATAGTCCTCAGATCACACAGGCTCATGTGCTTCTTCTATGTGGGTTTAGCTGACGTTCATTCTTTTACTATTCTTTTACTTTTAGCCTGCCTATATATTTTGTTTGAAATGTCTTGTAGACCTCATATAGTAGTTGATTCAAGGTTTTTCTCTGACTATTCATTTCTGTTCAATTCTCTTCTTCTGGGGCTCGACTTAAATGTTAGCTTTACAGAGGGAACCTTTCCTCGGTATAAGGTGAAGTTGAAAATAGAGGCAGAGACTAGATGATGCCTTTTAGACTTTGGGAAGGATTTGGGATTTTATTCTAAGTGCAAGAGGAACCCTTTGAAGTGTTATAAACAGCAGCATGGTGATCCACTCTATGTTTTTAGAGAATTCCTTTTGTAGTTACATGCATTCAAATGAAGCAAAAAGAGACTTAGAGAGTAATTAGGAAAATATTAAGCTAGGCTAAGTTGTGGAATGGAAAAGAAACAAACCCTACCCATAACATGCTGCTGTCATTTGAACCACCGACCTTTCAGTTATTAACTGAGTGCTTGGCCACCTGGGCTCCTAAGTTGCCTTAGTATCTTGATATAAATGTTGAAAACAGCGAAAACTCTACCTCCTCTTCAGCGGCTGCCTCTGTTCTGTTGTGGTCTCCAGAGGAAGAGTGCACTGCCATCTCTTTCTTTACCAATGCTGTGACGACACCCTTGAAAAGGAGATCTGCCTAGAATCCACTGTTCCATCTACTAATCACTAAAGTGAGGCAATTTCTTTTGCAGTGAAATAATCTGTCTGAATCAGCCTGGCCAACATTGCCATTATGCTTTCCTGGTTCAGTGCTTTATTGATCAATTAGTTTACCAGTAATTATCAGGATTAAATGAGCCCTCAATATCATATTACAAATAATTCTTGATTGTTGTGTTTGTGAATACTGGGCTTTTTACCCTCTGTTTGAAAGGGCAAAATGGAATTTCGTGTGGAGGTAGCTATGATACCTCCATTCAGCAGCTATTGATTGCATTTTGGGCTAAGGAATAGAGTAGGCATGCTTCCTTCAGATATTATGTTTGTCAGGTGCCTGGCTGCTTTATTATAAGTAGAATAAGTACATCTAGGTGGTGGTAAGCCGGCAGCAAGTTTTTGTGAGCTATGCATGCTGAAATATACTACTTAGTTATTTTAGATAGTACATTTTTGTTGATTAATTTTCCTAGTTAATAATATGTGAACAAAAATAAAATTAGAATCTTATCACTCAGATGTGGTACCTGACTTCTATGTTTATATATGTGTGTGTCTTGAATAATTTAAACATTTTATTGAGGGCTCTTAAAGCTCTTATAACAATCCATACATCAATTGTATCAAGCACATTTTATAAATGTTGCCATCATTATTTTCTAGACATTTATTTTCAATTGAGCCCTGGTGTCAACTCCTCAGCATC